TCCTCGCCCTGATACGCTGCTGCCTGGCGAAGGGCCGCTCTGTATGGCTGAGAGCCGTGTCAATCAGCAAGAACCGCGCAAGCCAGGGCGAAAGTGAAAGGAGCTGGGTTTCTGGAGTGGCCGGGCTTTAGGTTTGGCCTTTCTTTTTAAACGAAAGATACCTTTTGCAAGTCACTGGCAGGAGGGAAGATTTGATTTTGGGCTGAAGATTATTTGCAGAGGTAGAAGAAAGCTTTTCTGCGCGCGTTGCGGTTTAAGAACAGCAAAAGAAAAGTGTTTGGAGAAGGCTTTATTGCAGAGCTCTGCACAAAATCCAGAGCCCTGGCTAGAAATGCAGTGCTGTAAGCTCAAAGCAGTCTGCCTTCACATCATGCCGTCTTATTTTTGCTTAAAAGGTTTGTAGTCCCAGGTAAATGTCAAAATCAGGGGCCGGTTGCAGGCGGCATGGAGAGAATGACTCACCAACAGCAAGCCTTGTTTTTGGGGCCTGACATAGTCGGGCACAGCCAAGGGGAGATTTTGTTGTGTTTTTTCTTGAGTGCATGACAACATTTCCAGAAAAACACCCACCAACACAGCGTTCATCGTCACTCCCAGCCTCAATATGTTGTTGCTTTTTACTCACCGGTCTGTAATCTGCATCAAATCCAGGCGCTGGGTCAAAGATGCAAATCTAAGGGGAACAAAATATATTGTTCAGGGAGGTCTCTGCACCCCATTGTTTAGCAAGAAAAGTGTTCAAATGTGCCAAAATTATCGGGTCCGTTTAGTGATAAATAGCCAAGTAAACTTGTGTTAACTAGTGATGGGTTTATGATAATCTGCTCCACAGTGGACCACCTACATAACTTAAAAAAAACTGAAAGAACTGTGGATGCTGTAAATCAGGAACAAAAACAGAAATCGCTGGAAAAGCTCAGCAGGTCTGGCAGCATCTGTGAAGAAAAAAATCAGAGTCAACGTTTAGGGTCCGGTGACCCTTCCTACATAAGTTTTCCGTGCCTAGGTATGTGAGGGACAAGTAAGACTGCCTGGCAAAATGGGTTTTATCTGCAGGATACCATGCTATGCCAAAACATGGCTGAGTAAGGGCTACACAATCTGTGTAACATACCTGCATGCAAAATTCTACATGCCAGTTCTGAAGATGGGTCAGTGAACCCAAAACGTTAACTCTGCTTTCTCTCTTCAGATGCTGCCAGACCTGCTGAGTTTCTCCCGCAATTTCTGTTTTATTACATCAATGTGCTAATTGTGTTCTAATGCTATTAGAGAGAGTATAAGTTGGTAGCAGTTTCTAACTTGAAGTGTTAATTTTGAACTGCTGAATTTCACTCCACTAGCGGTATAGCAAAGATGTTTTTACCCCTCCATTTATTTTTTTTTCTTGGACAAGGTCAGAAGTCACACAACACCAAGTTATAGTCCAGCAGGTTTATTTGAAGTCACAAGCTTTCAAAGCACAGCTCCTTCGTTTATTTTTTCTTGTAAAGTGTAAAATGCTCTGTGCTTCCAGATGATGTGGTAAAGCAAGGCACGAGACTAACTCACGCTGTCAGATAGGTGCCACCACTTGCTGATTACAGTGTGTGCTCAGATATGTAATTTTAGTGTGAAGGATCATGCTGCATTTTCAAAGCAAACATGCATTGGAATCTGTTTCTTTAATCTTGCAGGAGCTCTTCTTAAAGCTGAGAGTTTGTGATGGGCACAGCAACAAAGATTTGTTAGGCTCGTGGATAGATGAGTTTTCTGTCAGTTTAAATACCTTGTCATTCTCCCAAGGAAGGTTACAAATCATGGTTTTCTTTTGTTTCTGCAGCATGTTGTTCTGGCGGAATTGGACTAATTCTCGTTATCTGGGTGGACGAACTGCATCCCAGTTTTCTGATGGCAGTTTTCTATTTGCTCCGGATCCTGAAGAGTCATTATCTCAGATGATAAATCGCTCGTTAACAGATGACACTGCGTCACCAGATGAGGATCTGGATTCTGTTTTATTTGGAAACCTACGTGGGAATGTGGTTGGGATGCGTTACTATACAGGAGTGGTAAGACTTGTCTCTCCAATCCAGTGTAATATTAAATTGCTGCATGTAAATCTTCAATTTGCCATACATTCGGTAACCTATTTATTATTGATTTAACAGTTGGGATTCAAAAACATAAAGTAAATTTGTATAGTGCCTCTCCCACAGCAAAAAGACCTAAGTTACTTCATGGGAATATTTTAAAGATACTTAGCCCCATAAGCCAATATTGGGACAGATGACCAAAGCAGTAGATTTTAAGGAGTGTCTCAATGGATGGAAGGGAAGGAGAGTAAGGGACAGGTTACTGAAGAAATTGCCGAACTTAGACAGCTAAAGGCACTTCCACCAATTGTGGACCAATTAAAATTGAGGGAGGAGTGATGGTGTCCTTTATCTCTGGTTGAATCGACCCTGGTTCAAATCCCACTTGCTCCAGAATACTGACATCTCCGAACAGGTTAAGTTTGAAAAGAAAGTGTCACCATTTAAAATCAGAGGTTAAAGAGGTCAGAATTAGATGAGTGCAGGTACACCAGAGGGTTGTGGGGCTGGAGTTGATGGTAGAGATAGGGAGGGGCCAGGCCATGGAGCATCTTGAGAATTGAGATAAGAATTTTTAAGTGGCAACGTTGCTTGACCCGACATCTGTGCTCCCTGGAGTGATGGATGAATTGGACTCTGTACGAATAAGGATGAGGATAGCAGAGTTTTGGACAACGTCAAGTTTTTGGAAAAGTAGAATGTGAGAGGCCAGCTAAAAGTGTGTTGGAAAAATCAAGACTAGGAGTAAAAACAATGAAAAGGGTTTGAGCGACACGGGAGTTGAAATGGGGGCAAAGTCAGGCATTTCACAGGAGGACGGATTTGGTCCCAGTACTTCCATGGACATGTGGCTGAGATCTCATCTCAGGATGAATTCTGTCCACCTGGATTACATCGTCTGTTTTAGTCTTGGACTCTTGCCAGGGAGAAGGATTGAACCAGGAGCAAGGGAGCAGAGTTTGTGATGGGAACCAAAAGAGGGTGGCTTCAGCCTTCCCAATATTTAACTTCATGAAAGGCATTGCTTATTAGACATTCCAGACAAATTGAAGATGTTGTGCATTTTGAAAAGTAAATGGGCTCAGTGGTGTGGTGTGAAATCTATAGTTTATTGTTTGTGAACAACCTCACTGATCTGATTATAACTTTGTACCCTTAGGAACAAGGTCTTATTTTCCTTTTTCTTAGAAGACCATGATCTGTCCATTAATTCAATTTACTTACCTCTGATCCAGACCCCTGAATACTCTGACCTTTACATCTCAATCTAAAATTCCACCCATATTCCTTCATGCACAAACAAACAGGAGAAATTGAAGGGTGGGATGGGGAAGCAAGACAGCAGAACGTTCCTGATTTTACACCTGAAGCTCTAATTTTTACTGTGCTCCCTGTGTCCCCTACTCAGAGGGAATACCACTCTTTATCTGCCTTTTAAATCACTTTCTCATTTTTAAGCAGCTCATATTAGCTCGCTCACAACTTTTGCTCAACTCTCAGAAATACAAACCAAGTTTATGTGACCTGTCTTCCTAATTTAACTCAGAGTGAAGGGTCGTTCTGGTTAATCTACCCATGTCATCTCCCGGGCTGGTTTTTATCTTCCTGAGATGAAGTGTCCCATGTAGATTGCAGTGTCCCTGATGAGGTCAGAAGAAGTGTCTCGACAAATGAAGCACCCATTCCTTTATTTTTGAATTTCAGCCTCATTGCAGTGAAAAGACCAACATTTTTATTCATAGATAGTAGGAACTGCAGATGCTGGAGAATCCGAGACAACAAGGTGCAGGGCTGGATGAACACAGCAGGCCAAGCAGCATCATAGGAGTTTTTGTATGTGCATCTATTTTTCATAAATGAAAAGAACTGGTCAGGACTTTGCTCTTCTGTGGAACCAAGTAACTTCACAGACATCTGATAAAGGCATCAAAACAACCAATGAAGTACATTTTTAGTACATTAAATAAACTGAGCAGTCTTGATTTTATAATCGGCATTTCTTGTGAATTCTGACTGTGCCCACTGTAAATGGGTTATAGCCACTCACTAAAATAGGTTAATTAGAAATATCTAGGCTGATGAATTCTATTTCAGAACTAATAAGGAGCGAGTCTCCTGTACGTTGCACCACGCTACGTATAGATCTCGCAGACAACTTTTGTCAATTTTTTTTTTTCTTTCTGAAGCATGAAGGCATTATCAGAACTAATCTTCTCAGTCCGTGATAGTCCAGGAATAAATTGTGAATGAAATGGTGTGCTTTCAAAACAAGCAAAAACAGAAGTTGCTGGAGAACTGTAGTAGGTCTGGCAGCATCTGTGCTGAGAAAGCAGAGTTAGAGTCCAGTGACCCTTCTTCAGAACTGGACTCAAAAAGTTAATGAAAACAGCATTTTCTGATTTATGGCATCCACAGTTCTTTCGGTTTTTAATCTCGAAAAGTTAACTCTGTTTACTCTCTCCAGATGCTGCTGAGGTTCTCCAGTTATTACTGGTTTTGTTTATTTCAGATCTTCAGCGTCCGCAGTTCTTTGTTTTATTTGAGGGCTTTTTAGTTTTTTTTTTTGCTACGTACTTTTGCTGCTGTAATTTCTGTGCCGTTTCCTTGAAAATTAATTGCTTAAAGTGGCAGTTTTAAATCATTCTGTGGGGATGTGTTGTGTCGCACCTCTGGAGCGCATGGGACTTGAAACAAGGCCTCCAGGCCCAGAGGTAGGGAGATTACCATTATGCCACACAAGTCCTGAGACTGGCTTTGAAAACAATGTGGTTAAGTGTAAATGACTGTCCAATGCTGCCAATAAAAGCTGTGCTTATGAACCTCATTGTTTATTGGTGGATCTCTCGTGTAGATGGTGTTGGGGCTTACAGATCCGTGCCCTTGTAAAATGCATGTGCAGGAGATACAACAACGTAACTGATCAATCTGGAAATGTCATTTCAGTAACAGGTAACTTTTAAAATTTGCGTCAGGTGAACAACAACGAAATGGTTGCCCTTCAGCGAGAACCGAACAACCCATACGACAGGAATGCAGTCCAAGTAAACAATGTGAATGGGATTCAGGTGGGACATATCAAACGGGAGTTGGCAGCCCCTCTGGCTTTTATCCTGGATAATAGACTTGCCAGAGTTGAAGGGTGAGTAAGCATGCTCAGTTCTGAGCTATCACAGTGCTAAGAGACGTTGTTCCGAGTGAGTGTTCGGCAAATTCTAGTAAATGTGGACTGTATTGAGCTTCAAATTTTAATTATAAATTCTACTATCAAAGCTATGGAAGGGAGATTATTAACCTGTATTGCTTAATTTGGAACTTAGAACTGTGGGTGCTGAGAGTTACTAAAGTAAACAATTGGGATTCTCTGTGCATTTTGATACATCAATATACTGCATTGTGAGTGATTGGATATTGGCAAGCCCCAAGATTTGCAAGTACAGGCTAGATATAAACTTGCTTTTTCACATATTGCCAGCTTGACTCCAGTTGTTATCTTTCTTCCTTTTGAGTCAGAAAGAAATGGGTTCAGGATTTCATCATCTCATCGAGGCTGATCCTCCAGTTCAGGGTGTGCTGCACTGTTGTAGTGACTGTACTTTGGGTGATAGTGTCACAGAGTCATGCAGCATGGAAACGGACCCTTTGGTCCAACCAGTCCATGCCAAACGTAAGCCCAAACTAGACTAGTCCCACCTGCCTGCACCTGGGCCATATCCCCGCCCCCAAACCTTTCCTATTTGTGTACTTATCTAAGTGACTTTTACACGTAATTGTGCCTACATCCCCTATTTCGTTAGGGAGTTCATTCCCTTGTGTAAAAAAAATAAAATTTATCCCTCGTGTCTTTTTTAAAATCTCTCTCTTCTCACCTTAAAAAATTTGCCCCCTGGTTTTGAAATCCCCCATCCTAGGGAAAAGAAACCTAACATTAACCCTATTAATATCCCTCACAATTGTATAAACTTCTATAAGGTCACCTCTCAACCTCCTTTGCTCCAGTGAAAAGAGACCCAGCCTTTCTTTATAACCCAAACCTCCCGTACCCAGCAACGTCCTGGTTAATCTCTTGTGAACTCGCTCCAACTTAATAATATCTTTCCTAACCTTTTAAGTGTTTTGTATGGGCATTTAAAGAGCATTGCATTCTTACATAGTACACCCAATATTACTCCCTCAATTAAGAATAACGAAAAAGAACTAGTCATTGATCAGAGCTTTATCTGTGGAATCTTTCTGTGTGCAAAGTGTCAGCTGTGATTTCCTATATAACAGCATTGACCAAACTTCATGAATGCAACTTGTAAAGTGCCTATGGACAGCTTGAGAAACATGCAGAGATGTTAAATATGTAAGCTCCTTGCTTTAAGCAACACCAAAATGTTCCCCCAATATTTTTTTGTCTGCTGTGTGCAATGAGACGATAAACACGATAAGCTTTACAATCGATGCTCCTGAATAAGTTGTTTGTCGGCATATTTTACACGTTTTTCTGCAGCAGCTACTGTAAGGTCGGTCACCAGCCTCAGAAATGCAATGTTTTCCCCTTCCTTAGCAACCGTCCATTGTAGCCTCTGAGGAAAGCTGCTAATTCTGAGCTGCTTTGTTAATGTTGCCTGGGGTATGTAATTATGGGCAAAATCTACTGTAGTTTAACAAGGGAGAGTTAAATGGACAGGGGGGAGAAAAAACAACAAAATGGTCTCCTGGAGAAAAAAAGACCAAAGTGGAGGTTGGGGGTGAAGGTGAAAATGATCCTTGGTAAAAGCTCAAAAGGAGTCATAACTAATCGGCAGTGTGATTTTTATTTAGTGAATCTATAAAGAAAATAAGCTGGCTTTAAACAGGCTCCTGATTTGCTATCTCAGTTCCTGTGCTGCTAGAAGTTGATATGAATTAATACATTGGTGTAGGTCAGAGTCTGGCAGTAAATGGTCTGAAGTGCTGGTTTTCAGGTGCCGAAATAGACCAGTGACTTGTGATTCAAATGGGAGCTCATTACTCTAATATTCCCAATCAGTTTGAGAAACATTTGAGCTTCTGTATTGCAGTGTTGGTTTCAGGAGAGGGAGCATGACCTGTCTGCTCTGTGGCTGCACTATGTCGCGCTAATGTCTCTCGCTCCTTAGGTGTCCAGGCCAGAAGTAGAATCAGTAGTTTTTCCAGCGCTGTAACCACAGTGATGGGTGTGCCAACGGTTTTGTATGTCTTTCATTTAAGTCTTGAAGGATCTGCACAGTTTCAGTTGCCGTTGTGCTGCAGTGGGAGCAGGGTCTGGGTCATTGCAGTGTCTGTATTTCTTTTCCAAATAGGGTGGTTCCTTACGGTGCTAACAATGTGTTCACCATGCCAGTGCAACTTTCATTCTGGGGCAGAGAAGAAAACCGTGACGCTGTTCTGGAAAGGTTAAAGAGACACGGGTTTAAACTGGCACCTCCCACAAAAGGTAAATACTGGTTAACTGAAGTAGAGAACCACTTTTTTGTTTGAATGAAAAAATGGATGGTTAAGCTATTTTGGGACTCTATGACAAAGTTCTTTGCCTTCTCCAATTTTACTACCTTAAAGTACAGTCAGCAGGGAGTCTTCAGTGTGGGGCAAGAGGAGAGGATCCACAATTTCAGTCAAAGCACAGACATTGTGGTTTAGATGAGAACTCGCTGCCCCATACTGAGGACTCTTTTTCCCTCTCCCGGTCCTGCTTCCATTCACAGTGGAGTGGCTCCTACCACTAAGTCACATCTTCGTGTCCTTTCGCACTCCAGGCACCTTCTCCCTCTGAGCAGCTTCTCCCTTACTGCCCTAATTCAGTTTTTAAGGTGGTCTTAGGCACTGGATGGATCTCCAGAAACAATCAGCCTTTCAATCTTCCACCCTTGGTTCAGAAGAAAGAAAAAAAAATAAAACAAAGTGCATTCCTATAGCACCTTTCAGGGCACTTTGCAGCCAGTGGAAGTATTTTTTGAAGTCCACTCCCTGATGTAGTTTGGGAAATGTGCTAGCATTCGTGTGCAAAGGAACTTCCAGAAGCAGCAATTAATTAACTGAGCAGTGGCTCAGTGGTGAGCACTGCTGCCTCACAGCACCAGGGACCTGGGTTCGATTCCACCCTCGGGTGACTGTCTGTATAGAGTTTGCACATTCTCCCTGTGTCTGCGTGGGTTTCCTCCGGGAGCTTCGGTTTCCTCCCACAGTCCAAAGATGTGCAGGGTAGGTGGATTGGCCATGCTAAATTGCCCATAGTGTTCAGGGATGTGTAGATTAGGTAGATTATAGGGGTATGGGTCTGGGTGGGATGCTCCAAGGGTTGGTGTGGACTTGTTGGGCCGAAGGGCCTGTTTCCACTCTGTGTAGGGATTCTATGATTTTAATTTGTTTCCAAGGATGAGGGATAAACAATAGACGTGACACTCCAGAAAACACCTCTTCTATTGCTTGGAAAATTGCAGTGAGATCTCTTATTTCCCTTCTAAGAGGAACCTCACTTTAACATATTCAAAGGCTACACCCTCAGATTATACCAGTTCTGAAGAAGAGTCTTTGAACACAGTGTTAACTCTGTTATACCCTCCCTGTTGCTGCCAGACCTGCTGAGTTTCTCCAGCATTCTCTGTGTTTGTCTCAGATTTCCAGCATCCGCGGTACTTTACATCAGACAATATGTTGTTTCCTCAGCACTGCGCTGTCAGATCGGCTAGATTATGTACTTGAGTCCCAGAAGTGGCCACGTATTTGGCAAACTTCTCGCCTCTTGCTTCCACTAAACCTTCGCTGTGATTACTCCTGTGCGTGGATCTGCCCTATCATTGTTGGAGAGGCTTCAGCCATCTCGCCGAAACTCCCTCTCGACATAATGTTCCATTCAATCCATTCGCTACTTTCAAAAGCTCCATGTCAGCCACCTTCAGTAATTTCGATCATTACTGCAGAGCACGTCCCCTGCTATATCCCTATATGAGAGTGGCACTTGACCGAAGCAGTTTGTAAAGCTGTTATACTGTCATAAAAATTTAAGTTGCTTTTGAATTGATAAAGTCCATGGTATGAACAATGTTGTATTTGGTTGGTCTGAACCAGTCTCATTTATATAGCAATTTGGCTGGAGGTTCCTTTTTAGGTGGTGGAATTGCTGAGGCGTGGTCTGGAATGAGATCTGCAAGACCTGGTCCCAGTTACAAAGCTCCTGTGCACACTGCTGTGCAGATGACAGTGGAACAGGTAAAGTGTTTTGTTAACTCCTTAGCTATTAGCCAGATAATCTCGCTCAGCACCTCTTTCAAACCTGCTGGCCGTATCTAAATTGAATGAAAATGTATCTCTCTAGGTCGGAATTTACGTGGAAGTTGTGAGTGGGTCAAAGTTGTAAGGTGGTACCAGTGTTTAGCGGATGCGTGTGCAGTGGGGTAGTGAGATGAACGGAGTCTGGGTGTATGGTTCCTCATGCACGGGGTACCTTGGCGCTATGATCGATCCTGTGTGTCCCTGGATAGTGAGTGTCGGTTAAGTTTGTAGCGTGCATTGCAGATGAGCCTGTGTCTGACCCTAGCTGACCCAACACTGCCCCAACAACCCAAGCAGGGAACGTTGATTTGGTGATCAGCAGGAAGCTTGACTTTCTTTATATAAACTCCACTAATGCCTTGTCCCTGGTGAGATCACAGATTTACCAATACGTTGCTGGGTACGGAAGGTCTGAATTATAAAGAAAGGCTAGAGAGGCTGGGACTTTTTTCACTGGAGCGTTGGAGGTTGAGAGATGACCTTATAGAGGTTTGTAAAATCATGAGGGGTATAAATAGGGTTAATGATAGGTATCTTTTCCCGAGGATGGGATATTTCAAGACCGGGGGCACATTTTTTAAGGTGAGAGGAGAGAGATTTAGAAAAGACATGAGAGACAAATTTTTTTACGCAGAGGGTGGTTTGCATGTGGAATGAACTTCCTGAGGAAGTGGTGGATGAGGGCACAATGACAACGTTTAAAAGACATTTGGATAATTTCACGAATGGGAAAAGTTTGGAGGGATATGGGCTATGCGCAGGCAGGTGGGACTAGTTTAGTTTGAGATTATGTTCGACATGGACTGGTTGGACCAAAGGGTCTGTTTCCGTGCTGTATGACTTTATAAAACTGCAATGATCGGATGAGGGATGTCCTAGTCCCCAACTCAGTGTTAATGGCTCCTTTACCCCAAGGGTCCAGGGATAAAATAGAAAAGTATCATAATTGGGAAAGTTTGAGAACCTAAGTCTGTTTTCTACCTTCAGTGGGTTTTGTCCTACATAGAGCCGTAGAAAGCAGGAGTAGGTCATTCAGCCCTGCACAATCATCCAATAAGATCATGGCTGATCATCCAACTCTGTCTCCTGTTCCTGCTTTCTGCCCCATGCTCTTTGACCCTTTCAGCCTTAAGAAATTGGGATTAAAATTTAAGTTTACATTTAAAGTGTGAAGATAAAATCCAATACCAGGGTCCTGTGCTTGAACAAGGGGAACTACAATAGAATGAGGGAGGACTTGGCTAAAGTAGACTGGAAACAAAGATTTTATGGTGGGACAGTTGACGAGCAGTGGAGGACTTTCAAAGCAATCTTTCAAAGTGCTCAGCAAAAGTATATTCCAATGAAAAGGAAGGACTGTAAGAAAAGGGGCAATCTGCCATGGGTGTCTAAAGAAATAAGGGAGGCTATCAAATTGAAAGAGAAGGCATACAAAGTGGCCAAAAACAGCATGAAACTAGAAGATTGGGAAAACTTTAAAGGTCAACAGAAAGCCACAAAAAGAGCTATAAGGAAAAGTAAGATAGAACATGAGAAAAAACTAGCACAGGATATAAAGACAGATAGGAAAAGTTTCTATAAATATATAAAACGAAAAAGAGTGGCTAAAGTAAACCATGGCCCTTTAGAGGATGAGAAAGGGAATTTAGTTATGGGATATGATGAAATGGCCGAGGCATTGAACAGGTATTTTGTATCGGTCTTCACAGTGGAGGACACTAATAACATGCCAGTAATTGACAAAGAGACGAAGGTAGGTGAGGACCTGGAAACAATCATTATTACGTAAGAGGTAGTGTTGGGCAAGCTAATGGAGCTAAGGATTGATAAGTCTCCTGGCCCTGATGGAATGCATCCCAGGGTACTAAAAGAGATGGCGGGAGAAATAGCAGGTGCACTGGCGGTAATTTTCCAAAATTCGCTGGACTCTGGGGCAGTCCCAGCAGATTGGAAAACAGCAAATATGACGCCACTGTTTAAAAAGGGAAGTAGACAAAAGATGGGGAATTATAGACCGGTTAGCTTAACCTCTGTAGTGGGGAAGATGCTTGAGTCTATTATCAAGGAAGAAATAGCAAGGCATCTTGATAGAAATTGTCCAGTTGGGCAGACGCAGCATGGGTTCATGAAGGGCAGGTCATGCTTGACAAATCTTTTGGAATTCTGTGAAGACATTACGAGCGAGGTGGACAATGGGGACCCAGTGGATGTGGTGTACCTAGATTTCCAAAAGGCCTTTGACATGGTGCCGCACAAGAGGCTACTGCATAAGATAAGGATGGCGTTAAGGGTAAAGTATTAGCATGGATAGAGGATTGGTTGACTAACACGAAGCAAAGAGTGGGGATAAATGAGTGCTATTCTAGCTGGCAGTCAGTGACTAGTGGTGGGCCTCAGGGATCGGTGTTGGGACCGCAATTATTTACAATTTATATAGATGATTTGGAGTTGGGGACCACGTGTAGGGTGTCAAAGTTTGCAGATGGCACTAAGATGAGTGGCAAAGCAAAGTGTGCAGAGGACTGTGAAACTTTGCAGAGGAACATAGATACATTGAGTGAGTGGGCAAAGGTCTGGCAGATGGAATACAATGTAAATAAATGTGAAGTCATACATTTTGGTAGGAGTAATAGTAAAAAGGATTATTACTTGAATGGTAAAAAGTTGCAGCATGCTGCTATGCAGAGGGACCTGGGTGTCCTTGTGCATGAATCACAGAAGGTAGGTCTGCAGGTACAACAAGTAATTAGGAAGGCAAATGGAATTTTGTCCTTCATTGCTAAAGGGATTGAAATGAAAAGCAGAGAGGTTATGTTGCAGCTGTAAAAGGTGCTGGTGAGGCCACACCTGGAGTACTGTGTGCAGTTTTGGTCTCCTTACTTGAGAAAGGATGTATTGGCACTGGAGGGGGCGCAAAGGAGGTTCATTAGGTTGATTCTGGAGTTGAGGGGGTTGACTTATGAGGAGAGACTGAGTAGATTGGGATTATATTCATTGGAATTCAGAAGATTGAGGGGGGATCTTATAGAAACATATAAAATTATGAAGGGAATAGATAAGATAGAAGTACAGAAGATGTTTCCACTAGCAGGTGAAGCTAGGACAAGAGGGCATAGCCTCAAGATTAGAGGGAGCAGATTTAGGACTGAACTGAGAAGGAATTTCTTCACCCAGAGGGTTGTTAATCTATGGAATTCCTTGCCCAGTGAAGTAGTTGACGCTACTTCAGTAAATGTTTTTAAAAAAACGGTAGATTTTTTTTGAACAATAAAGGAATTAAGGGATACGGTGAGAACGCGGGTAAATGGATCTGAGTCCACGAAAAGATCAGCCATGATCTTATTGAATGGCGGAGCAGGCTCGAAGGGCCAGATGGCCTACTCCTGCTCCTAGCTCTTATGTTCTTATGTTTATGTTCTAAAATGTATGTTGCATAGTTTTCTGTGCTTGTAAGAATGTTAAAACTAGCACAGTTCTGTCCCTACAGAACCTTGCTAACTGCTCCGTCAGAAATACAATGACAGATTTTTGTTGTTGCAGCTCAAGAATGAATTTGACAAGTTATTTGAAGATCTGAAAGAACATGACAAGACTCGGGAAATGGAACCAGCTGAGGTCAGATACACGAGTATTGCAGTGTTGCTATTGGACAAGCTTATGAGTCATATGGATGGTCAACAAACAAGCCAATGGGGAATTCGGGAATGGGCAGCTTACCAGCAGTGCTGTTAGATATGGAGTTCCAGGATTTTAATCCAAAGTGTATTTGTATTTCCAAGTCAGAATGGAGGGGAATGTGCAGGTCATGGTGTTCCAGTGTATCTACTAGCCTCGTCCTTCTAGAGGGTAGTGCTTGTGGGTTTGGAAGGTTCACCCTAAGGAGCTTTGGTGTGTTATTGTAGTGCATCATGTAGGTGATACACACTGCTGCTATTGTGTGTCAAGTTTCACTGGGGTAGTGAGATGTAAATCGAGCCCCACTGTACCCAGAGTCATCACAAAAGTTAAAGGTTTTAAGAGAAATATGCAAAATGCCCAAACTACCTGATTTTCAGACTGAGGATGATCAAAAGCATGGGCCAGGCATCTGTTTTTAACAATAAATCATTACTTATTACAAGCCATTAGGTTCTAGCTGTAGGTAAACAATTAAACTAAATTAAACAAACTCTACAAAAGTCTAACCCCCTAAGAAACTCCCCCTTTCACATACACAGACAAATCTAAGCACAGGGATGTAGGGAAACCTGGAAAAGCATTTCTGTAGTCTTTGTTCACAAAATCTATTGAGTTGGTTCTTGTTGATCTGAAATTTTCTCCTTGAATTTCCTTTTTCTGAATGCCTCCATTGGTTTGCAGGAGGCACAGGGTGGCTGCTTTCCTTTTGAAATGTCTCTGATGTATGCATTCCAAAGTCACGACTGACTTGAAGGAAAGGTAGACAGGTTTTCTTCAGGTTTAAAGTGGCTTCCTGCAGAGAACTCTGTTTTTTGGCTGCTGCAGGTTTGTCATCTTCTGATCCAATAAAACTTCCCACTATCTTGTTCAGCTGTTCTGATAATTGGCAACCTCATTGTTGGTAGCTAAAGGATATTTTTAAATTAATTAACTTATTCATTCACGGGATTAGGGGCGTTGCTGGATAGGCAGCATTTATTGCCCATCCCTAATTGTCCAGAAAGATTCAACCACATTGCAGTGGGTCTGGAGTTACATAGGCCAGACCAGGTAAGGATAGCAATTTCCTTCCTTAAACGACATTCATGAACCAGATGGGTTTTTCCGATAATCGACAACGGACTCACGGTCATCATGAGATTCCTAATTCCAGATATTTATTGAATTCAAATTCCACCACCTCCCGTGGCGGGATTCGAGCCTAAGTCCCCAGAACATTATCTGGGTCTCTGGATGAACAGTTCAGCGATAATACCACGAGGCCCTCGCCATTGGCCTTTAGTCAAATTGTCTTTAGTCCACAAACCACAAACCACAAACAGGGTTCATAAAATGTTTCAAATACCTTACTTCCAAAACATGCAGCCACCTTTGTAAATCCCTGGGTTTCAAATCAATTCTTTTTCATTTCAGTCCACGATTTAAAAAAAAAACAAAAATGAAAAGACATGGCCTTTACATGGTTGTCTGTGGTGCTGGAATTGAATTTCTACAGTGCATCTTGTTGATGGCGCACACAACTGTTACTGAGTGTCGGTGGTGGAGGGAGTGGATGTTTGTGGATTTAGTGCCAATCAAGCGGGCTGCTTTGTCCTGGATAGTGCCAAGCTTCTTGAGTGTTGTTGGAGATACACCCATCCAGGCCAAGGGGGAGAGTTCCATTACACTCGTGACTTGTGCCTTGTCGATGGAGGACAAGCTTTGACGAAACAAGAGATGAATTAGTTGCTGCAGGTTTCCTAGCCTCTGACCTGCTCTTGCGGCCACTGTATTTAATGGCTAGACCAGTTCAATTTCTGGTCAACGGTAATGTCCAGCTGTTGATTGAGTATTCAGCGATGGTAAAAATATTAAATATCAATGGACTGATGGTTAGACTTTCTCCTCAAAGGCTAACCACCATCTACAAGGCACAAGGCAGGAATGTGATGGAATGCTCCCCACTTGTCTGGATGGGTGCAGCTCCAACAACACTCAAGAAGCTTAGCACTATCCGGGGCAAAACAGCCCGCTTGATTGGCACCACGTCCAAAAACATTTACTCCCTCCACCACCGATACTCAGTAGCATCAGAATGCGCCATCTACAAGATGTGCTGCAGCAATTCACCCAAGTTCTCCTTAGACAGCACCTCCCAAACCCATGATTGCTAGCATCTAGACGGATGAGGGCAGCAGAGACACAGGAACACCACCACCTGCAAGTTCCGCTCCCAAGCCACTCTCCGTCCTCACTTGGGAATGTATCACGGTTCCTTCAGCGTCACTGGATCAAAATCTTGGAATTTCCACACTGATGGCATTGCGGGTGCACCTACAGCACGTGGACTGAGGCAGTTCAAGAAGGCAGCTCACCACCCTTCTCAAGGGTTAGAAATGCTGGCCCAGTCAGTGATGCCCACATCCCATGAGTCAATCAAAAAAGAATATAGACCTCACTTTAAAATGTCATCTGAAAGGCAGACCAACAACAGCCTTGTATATGTAATACAGTAGCACAATGTTTACGTCGATTATGGACTGGGATATAAATTAATGACTTTGTTATTTGGAGACTAGGGTCGAATCCGACATCTTTTTGACTTTTATTGCTGCATTTTAAGCTTGAAAATCCTGTAGGTAGCTGGTTGCGGACACGGAGAGTGGATGATTGATAAGTAAGTTTCTGAATTCTTCACCTGATTGAATTGCCATGACATACGTTCGAGAAAACTAAACTGGCTTTGGTGTTGCCACTGACAATTGGCTTGTCTTTTCATAGGAGAAAAATGTTTGGGGAAGTTCCTGCAGAGAGTTCAAAGAATCATACAATACAAGAAAAGGCCCTTTGGCCCATTAAGTCTGTACTGCCAAAACTGCACTGAATCTACATTAGTCCCATTAGTTCTAATTGCAGCATACAGATTTCCCCTTTTTATTGTTTATCCGTTGGATTCTTGTTTTCGCTATCGCATGCCAATGTTTGGTTTCCCATGTGGACATATTAGGACTGATTTTTACAGTCAATGCAGAGAGCATTTGGTGGGAATTTGCAGATCTTGGGCATATTTTCTGTCTGTACATTTAAAACATGACGCAGATGGTCCTATGACGTCCTCAGGAAGTACTGCTGCGTTTGAGCACCGTTTGTGAGATTAGCCTTCAGAAAAGATTCAGCACCTCGAGTGACCCGGAGTTTTGAGTGGTTGGCGCTGCGAGTCTGCATTAGTGCTTCAAGATTCACAAAGGTGGCCTTCCCTCTCCTGACCCATGGATTGAATGTTTGTAACAATTTGCTTCTTGTGTTGCCAGGCTGTCTGTACGCCCTTGCTCCCTCATCAGAAGCAGGCACTATCGTGGATGGTACTGAGAGAGAATAATGCGGATCTGCCTCCCTTCTGGGAACAAAGGAACGACATGTATTATAACCTGCTGACAAACTTTGCAGAGAAAGAGAGACCCGAAAATGTTCGTGGAGGAATCCTGGCTGATGACATGGGCTTGGTAACTATATCTTTGTAAATGTAACTTAGGGCCTGCACATTTTTTTTTAAAATTGTTATCCTATACTTGAATTGCCAAAGTAAAGCAACTGGCAGCCCCCCCGCCAGGTTGACAAAGCACAGGGAAGGATAGACCCATCCATTGACGGAACTGGGGAAGGAAACAAACGAGGAGGGAGATGTAGAAAGATTGGGTGGAGGGAAGGTGACTATACTGAATGGGGAGAAAACAAAGTCTTAATAGTTTCAGTCAGGAAGTGATAATCTCTCTGCAGTCAGGAGCAGCTGGTTCTATAAATTAAGAAAGAAATACTTGTCTTTGTCTAAAAAAAGAGTGGAAGCACTTTGCATTGAAATTTAATTCCACAAACACAGAAACAGGAGTAGCTATTCAGCCCCTCCTGATTTGCTGTCCAATTTGGTGAGATCATGACCAATTTGGTTTTTAGCTCCATTTACAAATTCTGGCCCCCTTCTTTAAAACCGTTGCCTAAGAAAAATCAATCAATTTCAGGAACGCAATGATGGCCTAGTAATATTGTTGCTGGACTGTTAATCCTGAGACCCAGGTAAATTTTCTGGGACCGGATTCGAATCCTACCACGGATGGTGAAATTTGATTTCAATTAAAATCTGGAGTTCGGAGTCTAATGTTGATTGTTGCAAAAACCCATCTGGTTCACTGATGTCCTTTAGGGAAGGAAACTGCCATCCTTACCTGGTCTGGTCTACATGTGACTCCAGACCCACAGCAATGTGGTTGAATCTTTCTGGGCAATTAAGGATAGGCATTAATTAATGGCCTAGCCAATGATGCCCTCATCCTATGAATTAAGTTTTTAAAAAGTTTATCAGTTTTCTATTGACTGAACCTCAATAATGTATTTTTGAGATGGAGAGTTCCGGAGTTCCATTAAGCTGTATGTGATGAAGTTTTCTTTGGCATCACCCATGACTGGCCTGGCTTTATTTTTAAAGTTATGCCTTCTCATTTTGGATTTTCCCACAATAGAGGAATTAGTTTTTCTTCTAAAAGATACTGGCAAGCTTGATAAACGTCATAAACATCTCAGGACAAGGGCAGCAGATACATGGGAACACTACCACTTGCAAGTTCCCCTCCAAGCCACTCACCATCTGGATTCGGTAATATATTGCCATTCCTTCACTGTTGCTGGGTCACAATCTTCTCCCTAAGAGCCTTGTGGGTATACCTGCAGCACATGGACTGCAGTAGTTCAATAAGACAACTCACCCTCACCTCTTCAAGGGTAACTAGGAATGGACGATCCATGTTGATCCAACCAGTAATGCCCATGCCCCAGAAGTAAATTTAAAAAAAAAAGCTACATTGCCTCTTAATACTCGGAGGAATATAAACCCAGTCTGTGCGATGTGCCTTGACAGTTTTAACGATTTTAGCAGGGTTGTATTCTGGTGAATCTGGTACACTGATTTCAGGGCTAAATGATTTGTGTTTTCTTGATAAATGCTTCATGGCATGCTGAGTAATTTCTTTTTTGGCCTGAACCTCCGTTTTTGCATCTGGATATATAAGCAGTATTTCCATTATTGGCCACTTCAGTTCTGTGGTCAGAATCATTCACAACCCAATGTCTTTTGCATGAACGGCTGACTACATTTGTGCAGGTTATTTTTAGCACCTGTGAATGGTTCTGGTTCTCTGTCAACCGGAATTACAGAGTAATTTTTAGTCTTCACAACATGAGTTAAACGGATATCATTAGTTAGTACCTTTGAAGGGCTTTCTTTTGCAGGTTTTTAATTCAGGAAAATAAAAGAGAGGCCCAAGATTCTTATGGGACTTGACTGGATTGGTGTGGAAAGTATGTTTCCCCTTGTGGGAGAGTCGAGGACCAGAGGGCATAATCTCAGAATAAGGGGTCATTTATTTAAGAGAGAGACAAGGGGGAATCTCTTCTCTGAGGGGAGTGAATTGGTGGAACTCTGTATCACAGAGGGCTGTTCAGGCTCAGTCATTAGGTATATTCAAGGCTGAGGTTGATTAGTAATTGGTTAGGGAATCAAGGGTTTTGGGGAAAAGGTAGCAAAGTGGATTTGAGGATTATCAGATCAGCCATGATCTCATTAAATGGTGGAGCAGACTGCGATGAGCAGAATGAAGCAGAAGTTGGCCAATGTCTTATGATCTTTAACCCCATGTGCTATGAAGATTCCAGCCTCGGGTGACGGTGTGGAGTTTGCACATTCTCCCCGTGTCTGCGTGAGTTTCCTCCGGGTGCATCGTTTTCTTCCCACAGTCCAAAGACGTGTAGGTTAGGTGGATTGACCGTGCCAAATTGCCCATAATGTCCAGGGATGTACAGGCTAGGTGTGTTAGCCACAGGAAATGCAGGGTCACGGGGATGGGATCGGGGTGGTGGGTCTGTGTGGGTTACTCTTCGCAGGGTTGGTGTGGACTAGATGGGCCGAATGGCCTGCTTCCACACTGGAGGGATTCTATGAAACATAATCTCAGCCTTATTCCATTGTTAACACCTGTATAGGATGGGCTGAAGGGCTAGAAGTTAATGATGATATTCAACAGCTGCATGAGAAAATAGATTGTACAGGATGGGCTAAAGGGCTAAAATTGTTGATGACACTTGACAAGCTGCATGACCTTGAATGAGACCTGTTAACATTCCTTTACGAGCTGAAGATGATACCTGCAGCTTGTTTTCCTGTAGCTGTGTTTTGTGTACCAGCCAGCAGTTTTTTCTTTCTGTATCTGCTTTCTTTCCACTGGCTGTTTGTTACACTGTGTAAGAAAGAGAGAGTTTCATTCCAAGTTGTTGGACTTAGCCTCGGCTCGGAATTGTGAACGGTGCCAGGAACAAACTTAAACCTCCAGACCAGCCATCAGTCGAGGGGCTCCCAAAGGGCAGGGGGGCGTGAGACTTGTTTTTTTTCTAGAAGGGCATGAGACTTATTGTGTTCTTTATTATTACCGCTATAGTCATTTATTGTTACTTAATAAACATTCATATTAAAGCAAATTGCTGTCAGACGAGCCTTCTCTTAATGATATTTAACCGAGACTGAAAAGAACCGCTTGGATACATGCTGTGATCCAAGACAACACCACCATGAAAATTAGGAATTCCGAATGAAGAAAGGCCTACCTGGTTTGTTACTTATCACCCACGTAGTCACATGGGCCAGTGAGACTGGAAGTGCCGAGTTCTAGAGAGCTGAGCATCCAAATGGAAGTAGTGGATAACGCACAGTTCAAGAACGTGATTGTGACAGTGGGTCGTTTGGAAAGAGTTCGAGCTGGTCAAAAATGGAGCGACTGTGCAGCCAGTCAGTGTTCCCTCTTTGGATGAGGTTGTGTAAAGCTATGAACAACCTGGGATGTACCACGTAGGCAGCAAACAGGCTGCGCTGAACCTGCCTCTAAGGTGCAGCATTGAACAGCAATGTAAGTGGAACAAACAGGCTGGATGTGAGCTAAACAATTCAATGAAATATTGCAAGCGACCTGAATATCCTGTGGGACTGATTGAGTTCCAAAATGCAAGTGTCAGCCTCAGAAGTTCTAATGTTGTTTCTTCTGCCCCTGTTGGGTGAGGCTACTTTCTTTTCATATCTCTGAATTGGAGGAAGAGTTGGATAGCAGCTTAATCACTGCGTTTTGATTCACGGCTACACTTTGCTCATATTTGTGAGAAAAATCTTTGATTACAGCTTTTCACGCCTCGTTGTAAAGTGGATTTTTCTTTTTGCATTTTTCTAGGGAAAAACACTGTCGACTATTGCAGTAATCCTTACAAATTTTCACCAGGGACAGCCACTCCCCACTGAAAAGTTCACACGGGGACCAGTGGTAGAGGAGGTAAGATTTAAAACAGATGCCATATTTATATTTATTTGCTTAATGAACAATCGTAGAGAAGAATCTTGCTTCTTTTTGCGTGAATAATTTAGATGAATATTCATTAAGTTATGGTTATAAACTACCAAACAGATTCATTAAACAATAAATGGATCAGTGAACGTTGATGCGCTGTAGATTCTGCTCCTGTATCCCCTAGAATGGTGGGGGACAGGTCAATACACTGGTTCCTCCTGAAACAGATAAATGTTTTTCCAACTGATTTGTTCCCTGCGATGGATCAGCTGTTTATTACAGTTGGTGGTTTTCAATCACTGTTCAACCTCCTTCAGTTGTAATCCAAGCTGGGAGTGTAAGAGCACGTTCCGCTCTGTGTCCAATCTTCCATCAAACATTATTTAAAAAAGGCTCGGACAGGCCTCTGGGACTGAGTGTGATGAGTGCTCCTGAGTAACCAAAAGTGGACATTTCTCCTGTCTCCAACAAATAGGAGAATCTTGACTTCAATGCCTTTCCACAAAAGCTCAGTGGACTCGATTGCTAATATTGTGTGACCTAACTCTCATGTATCTAGTTGCTGCTACCTGAAACCCAGCCCCCCTGTGTTCTACTGCTAACCCTACCACTTCCTGTCTCCTACTGCTACCATTCCTGCCATGGTGGGCTTAGGGAATTGGAGGTCAGAGACGCAGACAGAATTGAAGGTCAGAGACGCAGACAGAATTGGAGGTCAGAGACGCAGACAGAATTG